ATAAAAATAAATATGTTGCTTTACCACACTACTTTAGGTAGTTCAAAGTCACTGTAATAAACATATGTAAACATGTGGACTGCACTTTTTAAACACCGTTTGTTAACTTTAGACCAGTGGTTCTCAAACTTTTTTGGTCGCGCCCCCCTTTAAACCTATGAAACCTAACCTACAGGGAAAACCTGCATCACTTGAAACATTGAAAAATAGCATAGAGAGAATAACTTATTATTATTCTCTCTGTTATTTATTTATTTTTTGTGGGTTTCATGCTGTCCGCTAAGGCATAGGACACACAGGCTTTAAACACCGTCCGGACGTGAGCGGCAAAATACAGTAGAACCGTTATAATTAGGGATGCACCGAATATTCGGCCACCGAAAATTTTCGGCCGAAAATGGCCTTTCGGTTTTCGGTTTCGGCCAAGAATTTTCATTTCGGTGCATCCCTAGTTATAATCAGTGACGCCGTGTACACTGGATGCGACGCGACATTAAACTGATGCCTTGTTCTATTTATGACGTACTGACACAAAGTTAAAATGATTTGCAATGGTTGCTTTGCTGCGTCCAGTGTAGAGGCAGCTGTTGTGGCGCGACGCGTCAACTGTAGTGTATAGACACAGTGAGTGAAGCCGAGAGCAAGATATGCCTCGTCATATTTTCTGCTTTTAGCTTTTGAATGACCAGCACCTGCCTGGTTCTGTGCGACTTCATCTATGGCTTTTCTCTTCGCTTTCACAAACCAATCCATCTCCCATTCTAAGTTACGTCCTTTGGCTGTTTACTGTTTTATTTATTTTCTTTTTCTGCTGATAGCCCGTGCTCGACTTGAAACAGCGCTGCTTAGACCGATGGGCGTGTGTCATCAAAGTACTGCGAGAGCTATAAGAGAGCGCGGACATCTCCTTATGCTTTCTCTCGCCATACTTTGATGTCATACACCGATCTGATCTTCAAGTCGAACACCCCTCTTTACTCTCGCGTGTCACGTGACCGTGTAATCGCAGCCTCTGCGATTGAAAAATCACGTTGTTTCATATCGCGATATTATCGCAAATGCAATTAATCGTTCAGCCCTAATTGAGAGCTATCAATTTTAACATTAGACTTTCAAAAATAACTTCCAATTTGAGTGAATTTAAAACCATTTTCACATAAACCCATTATAATAAATGCCATATTTACCTGTGCCCTTCAGAAGAAATATACAGAAATTGAAATTGAAGTTATCAAACACTAAACTAAATTAAATATAGATGAATCCTTAAAGCTATAAAAGTTATTTTTTCCTCTTAACAGACATCACAGCAGCTGGTTATTAGGTTATTTTGGCTGTTATTTCTTTAAGAGCTGCCGCTGCTGAACATGATGCGGATCTTACATGCATCATATTTTCTCTCAACTCTTTTTACCTTTTCTGACCCACTTCAGGTCTTAAAGTCTCTATTAAAGAGCTGACGAGTTAAATCGGGTGTGTTAGATGAGTGAGACAGTGCTGGGCTGCTCCAGGACAGTTTTGAAAACCATTTCAGAGACATGTTCTTAAATGTGACTCACATAAAATATATTACATGCATGCTCAGTTTTAAGGCAGCTTTAATCTCCTTTTTGGTAACTTCATGACTTAACTGACCACGACATTGCATGCACGTAGTTTATTTTGCGCTTTGATATGAAAGGATACAGGCTACAGCGCGCGCCGGTGCATTTGTGCGTGCAATTGAAGAGCACGCGCTGCGAGCACAGTACCGTTTCCGCGTGCTCACTTGACTTATGCCTGGCGGTGAAGTAAAGTGGAGCGCACGGCTGAATCGTCTCCCATTCTCAGTCGTTTTGCGACTGAATAAATGCACTTCTTGTCAATAGAAAAAGTGACAAGCAGCAGTTGTGAGTGGTGTGGCCAACCCTAACCCTGCGTTAAATATTTTTAACGTGTTAAACTGGAAAAAATTAATCGCCTGCGTTAGCGTGCTAATTTTGACACCACTAATATATATATATATATATATATACACATATATATTTATTAGGGATGGGCCACGATTTTCAAATATTCGATTAGTTGATTTAATTATAGAATATTGAATAGGTTGTGCTATTATTGTCTTAAAAAATTTCCCCATGTTTTCCGTGCTGATGCGGTGGTGACACGTTCATGTAAGCAAAGGGTGGCGCTGCCAATAACGCACCTAAAAGCTGTCGAAGACAACAGAAGAACACATTGTCTCACGCGCACACTGTAGACTTGTGTGGCACACTGTAGACTTGCGTGGCATAAAAAAAAAAAGATTTGCATAGCATATAACGGTTACAGTAACTTGGGATGATGTCAAATACGAGCTCTGTGCAGACCACAAACACCCCCGACTGGGTTAGAGGTGAAGCTGAATCCGTGTTCAGAAAGGCGGGGAAAACAAATAACGCATTCTACGGAGCCACTATAGGGACATGGTTAGCTGCTAGCAAGCGGTAGCCTGTTACATTACAGTACATAACATTTTACTTACCACATAAACAGAGTAAGGAGAGATGACTGAATGATTTAGCGATCTTGAGCAGCACTGACAAACATCTAATCTTGTAAAATGGGGTGGTAAGTACTGCCGAGTGCTGCTTTGTACGTGTGATCGTGAATCTCGAAAATGTAAGTAAAAAAACAAGCTTGCGTTCATAAGCGATTTCAATGCCCCGCATATTAATAATGGCTCCCTGATGCCCGCATTTATATACAGTATATTTACTCAAGGATATAATTGCAAGGGAAGATATTGAAGTATATTTTTCCTCCCATCTCCTATGTAATCCAGTCTCTCTCTCTCTCCCTCCCTCTCTGTTTATGGGTATTTGTGCCTGCATGCGGGGGAGGGGTGTGATTTTCAAACAATAATCGAATAATACTCAGCGATTTTTGTAATCAATGCAGCTGCACTACTTTCTGTTTCCGAATTGTGTTTAAATGATTTAAACAGCCATTCAGATTTGTGTATTTGCTGTGGTGTTCATCACAGCGCCAAATACTTAAATATTTAGACTTATTAGGCTATTTATTTTCCAACTTTTTTTTACATTTTAATCTGGACTACAACATGCCCTAGATATTGTTTGAAAGTGTTTTGATTCTTTATTGTTTCGTCACACTTTACATTAGGGCTTCATTAGTTAACATTAGTTAACATAAACTGCCAATGAAAAATTCTTCTGAACATTCATTAATCTTAGGTATTTCAATATTTAATAACAGGTTGTTCAAATCTAAAGTTGCAGCTGTGTTATTTAATGAGCTAACATGTTTTTTTTTTCAACAAATTTTAATAACTTCTGTACATTCACATTGTGAATGTTAATGCATTAACTAAGGTTAACTAATGAGGTCTTATTGTAAAGTGATACCTATTGGTCTTTATAGTTCTTTTGCACTTTAATCTGTGTAAAACTTTTAACTTTATACATTTTTCTGTATTGCTTTATTGCATTTAAACGTTCAGCTATTTTTGTTATAAGAAAAAAGTTATTAAACCTGTTATACTGTACTATGACAGCACTTTTTAAAACTAAATTTCAGTATCGTGATAATACCGTATACCGTGATAAAAGCATTAGCAATTAATCGCAACATGAAAATTTGATACTGGCATATCCCTAGTATCTAATTCAATCTTTTCAATCATAGGTCCATGAAATGATAGTCATTTTGAAGGGTGGGGGTCCCTGGGTTTTTACTGGTTGTTACCCCCTGTGAACATGAAAACTCATTAATTTAATGATGCATTATTAAAACGATATATTTGCAACAGGGTGATTCCATAGTAGAGTGCTTTTTTTGTACCTCAGGAACATATCAGTGGCTTTAACAAAGAATAGCTGACACCAGCTTTCACTGTTTGTTTTTATAGCCAACACCTCCTTGACATTAGCAAACACGCACATTTAGATCGAAATGGAAATAAATGTTAGAATTTTGTATGTATTCTCTCTCTAAATATTTTTAGATTTTGGTTGACACTACTTCATTTAAATCACTTTAAGAGTCAGCAAGTTATGCTTCAACCATGTTACGATCAAAACGCCCCTATATTAAAATAATGTTAAATTCCTGAAATAAACAAATATCATCATCCTTCCATTGCGTGAACTCTTTAAGGTCATCTCTCATTTCTTTATATGATTTTGTACAGTAAACAACAGATTATTGAAAACTTGATATCTATTTAGCAATATCAGTATTACATTCTCTTTCTAAAACGCACTATAGTGACCTTATGTGGCTAAATTGAACTGTTTAACTGTTAATTCTGATATGTATATATATTAAAATTTTGAGATTAAGCTTGAGTTGGTGAAGATTCTTTACCACTAAAGATTTTTTTTTTTTTTTTTTTTATGAAATAGACATTTCATAGAATGACCCCATCAAGTGACAAATCAAAAGACATAAACCCGGAAAACGGGAAATAATGGAGAGGAAGCTGTTAAGTTGTTATTATTATGACGTCACTGTGTGTTTTCAGACCTGTTTCGAAATACATCCGCTCAATATGATGCATTTATCGACGATATGTTTCATTTTCTCGAGTCAAATGTTCCCTAAATTATTAAAATTTTAGAAACCATGTTTTTTTGGGGGGGATGCTGCTGGATAGTAAGACAGAATTATTTGTAAATGTAACATTGGTTCCGGATAAATGTCATTCATAAATTACAAAATAAGATTAAAAATTTTTTTTTTTATTCCATTCCTAAATCTAGGAACAGCAAACAATCCATCAAACCCATTAGAATTAGTCATGATTTTAATATGGCCGTATTTATTTTAATCAATGTTTTGTGCTGTTGTACTGAAGTGTACTAAACCAACTCTGTATTTTGCTTTCGCTCCTGTCTAAATTGCCATTAAAATATTTGTGGCGCTCCATACTTTAACTATGTACAAACTGAACAGAATACATAGCCTATTGAATACAGTTTCAAATTTAGCCATTCAACAGCCACACGTCTTACCGTGGCAGACACCAGGCTGCTGTCCGTCAAGGCGAGGTGGTGCGGCTCCCACCTCCGTAAATATTTGGAGGTGAAAATCTTACTGAGGAAGGTCCGCGGGTGTTTTACCATGCACACCTGGATGTCCCCCTCCTGGAGCAGTTTGTATCTCATGCCGCTGCTGCTGTGTAGAAGGCTCCTCTTGCTGCAGGGCCCCGCTTTGTGATTATTATTCCCCTCCGGCGGCGGCGGCTGCTGCGCGGATATTTCCCCCAGCAGAGGCTTACTCTCTTCGGACGGATAAAACTGATTGTTGTGCAGCTCATTTCCCCCGCCGCTCCCGTTAAAATCCATGATTCCCCTCAGCGAAAACCGACGGCGTTGAATCAGATCAGGTGGCTGTCTTTTGATTTCGAGGCCGAATAATGCTCGTTCCGGTGTTTGGCATATAGAGGCTCACGCGATCCACCCTGACTCAACCTCAACAGTGGTACGCAAAAGACAAGGGTCGGTGACGGCGAGGATTGAAGCCATTAAATGAGCCCGTCAAGATGAGGAAGGTTCGATGAAGTATAATGTCTTTCCTTTGAGCGTCGCGAGCTATTCAATATGTTCGAGCCATTGCCGTATCCCTTCCGCCTCTCTCCACTGCATATTATTCCAATCTTCCCGCTTCGAATACGAAACAATTACCAGGTACGAGATCCACGCTGCGTTCAATTTTATTTGTTCTTCAGATGCTCGGAGTCATGGTTCCCTTTTCTGTCTTTTCCCCCCTCTCTACCTCGGTGGAGGAACCGAGAGCTTAGCCTCGACAGGGCTGCGTGTGGATTGGTCCCGGCTCGTTCATGTGATACCGGAGTGACGTCAATGGGGAGGCGAACGGATGCGCGTCTCTGTTTGATAGGGAGCGCGCACTTCCCTTCTCTCGAGCAAAATGGTGAAATATGGCAAACCGTTTTAACATTAATTTCGATTTTACATTGCAAATACTTGTTTTTTAATTACTAGTAGTATGCAGTCGAATTATGATGGTATACCTTTTCAATTTCACACTAGCAACTATATAGCCTACTAAAATAGTGCTTTAAATCTATCCAGTTAGCTTCATTGTATGTTAGTACTTAGGCTATTCCTTTGTTAATACTCACTATACCTGTAGTGACAAGTATTGAAGTCAGTTTTCGCTACAGAATACAAAAATGTCAAAATAATTGCGACTTTTTATCTCACAATTCAGACGCTTGTCTCATAATTCTGAGTTTACATCTCACAATTCTGTTGTTTGTTTTTTCTTTTTTCTCACAATTGTGAGTTTATATCTCACAATTTGGACTTTTCTTCTTAGAATTGAGAGTATCTTGCAATTCTGAGTATATATCTCACAATTCTGACTTTTTTCCTCATAATTGCAAATAAAGTGAATTGTGAGATGTAAACTTGCAATTGTGGGGAAAAAATCAGAATCTGAAAAACTGAAATAACCCTATATTATTATTATTATTAATCTTTTTTTAGCTTCCATTGTTGCTGGCAAGCAAATTGCAAATTCGTGCCCTTTGATTTTATAGGGATTTTCAGATATAAATAATATAAATATTTAGTAAAAATTTAATTGTAAATCATACTAGTCACTATTGGATACTTACTAGTATTTTTTTTTAAATACTTGTTTATTTTAAAGTTAATATTAAAATGGCTTGCCATAGTGGAGGCAGAGTTTATGTCATACTGTCATTTTCTGTACACATTAATTCTAAGGCTTCTTTGTTGCTGAAGATGAGCCATCTGTCCTGTGGTTCACAAGCTTTCATAATATATCATAATTATATAAACATCAGAGTGTGAATATTATTCAAAATCACTTTCTACAAAAGAGCTATTGAACATTTCCACCAATACTGCAAAGAAAAAATACTGCTTACTAGATGCACATTGGCCTTTTGTGGCTAATTGCTTCTATAGTGGGGTAAGTTGTCGCAATGGGAACCAGTTGTTTGTTGACCATGATTAAAGAATTTTATTTGATTTTATTGTATTTTTCCTTTTTTGTAAAATGAAATACTAAGATAAAAAACCCATATTCTACAACAGCTTAGTATTTAATATGTTACTGGCTTTTTAATGGCTTGTCAGCAGTCTTGTTTAAACGGTACAATTATATGAAATAAAACAGCATAAATAGAAAAGGAAACATACTAAAAAGTTCAAAGCATTGTTGTATATGTATAAACTGTATATATATATATATGTATATGTGTGTGTGTGTGTGATAACTTGCCTTGACCCGAGTAAAAACATATTCAGAAATTTTGATTTACCTTAAAGCATGTTACTGTGATGTTTTGTCTTTTTCTTTTTGTACTCAACAGATATTACAAAAAGTATGATGATGTTAGAATTTTTAGAGAATTACCAAAGTGTGTCATCACCATTTAGAATAGTTTTGAAAGTAATTGAGTTTGACTCCAACATACAAGCATTTATATGTTCACTAATATGTATGCAAAATTAAGTTTAAATTCCCCTCATTATGTTGCAGTTCACAGCCCTCCATCCGATTTTTGTTTGGCTTAAAAAGCAAAGTCTGAAAATAAATAGGCCCACATTTGGTCATTTGAGTTAGATATTTATTCAACTGGGATACTTCAACTAGGATACCGCTTGCTCTCATTCCGCATGAAGTGCACAAGATTTCTTGGGAGGCCGAAGCAAGCGGGGCCACCCACACTCTAAACAAAGCCTCAGTCACAAAAATGAACCCCCCCCCCCCGCCTCTGACAACAATGTTACTGTGCTTGTAATCTTTCCTAATGCATTAGTGACAACATATTTTATCAGAAGGAGCCATGGTGGTGCAGAGCAGATGACCAAAACCAACAGAGATAATGTTTGTTCATACACTTCCAGATTTCCAAGTGGTAAAATCTTTCACTGAAATGCACCAGTGCTCAGATGCTAAATGACTTATGAAACGGTCTTTGTTTCAGCAAGTTAAAGGGAAGTGAGATTCGTATCTGCTCTTTGGTTCTGTCATTGCCTATAATGCACCAGTGGAACTCATTTGTTTTACTTAAAGAAATAGATCAAGAAATTAACAATATGTTATCATTGACCGGCATGTCAATCCAAATCTGTATGACTTTCTGTTTTAAGAATATCCTATAGTCCATCTTTTCCATATATTTAATTTCACACTTTTTTACTTTCAATAATATAATCAGTCCAAACCTGTATGACTTTCTTTTCTAAGAATATTCTTATAACTCTTTTATACAAAAATTTCACACATTTATCATATTCAATAAAATTATCGGCCCAAACCTGTATGAGTTTCTTTTTTCCATATAATAAAACTTCCATATAAGAAAATTCCTTTTCAGTAATAATTCTTTATATCCTACTCACTTTTTCCATATAGGAAAATATCACGCTTTCATTATATTTGAAAATAAGTGGGCCGAACATTCTTAAGATTTTTTAAAGAAGTTTCTTTCATAAGAATATACTAGTCACATTTTTCAATATACTAACATTTTACAGTTAATATTTATTATATTCAATAATAATTGGGTCAAAGTCTGTTTGACTTTCTTCATAAGAATATCTGTCACTCATTTCTAGGAAAATTTCACACATTTATTATATACAATAATATAAAAAGTCTGTTTGACCTTTTTTCTTATAAATATCCCAGTCACTCTTTTCCATATTTTCTTTTCCATATTTTTTAAGAGTCACTCGTTTCCGTAATAAAATTTCATACTTCTACTATATTCAATAATATTATCGATACCTGTATGACTTTCTTTCAGAAGAGTCACTCTTTTCCATATGGTAAAATTTCACACTTTTATAATATTCAATAATACAATCAGTCCAAGCCTGTATGACTTTCTTTAGCCACTCTTTTCTATAAAGTATAATTTCACACTTCTATTATACTAAATAATATAACTGGTCCAAGTCTGTTTGACCTTTTTTCTTATAAATATCCTAGTCACTCTTTTCCATATAGTAAAACTTCCCACATTCATTATATTCAATAATATAATTAGTTCAAGTGTGACTTTTTCGTTTTTTAAGAGCCTCTCTTTTCCATAAGAAAATGTCATACTTTTATTATTTTCAATAATATAATCTGTCCAAAGCGGTATGACTTTATTTCTTAAGAATATTTTAGTCATTCTTTTCCATATAGGAAAATATAACACTTTCATTATATTCGAAAATAATTGGGCTGAACATTCTTCAGAAATTAACTTTCCAAAGAAGACAGTCAAGTGGGTTTGTTTTGACATGATGAGAGTGAGTAAATAATGGTAGCGTTCATTTTTAGATGAACTGTTCCTTTAAAAAGTTTAACCCACAAATCTATCTGACATGTGTTTAGTTTCCTAGAAGACAGATTTTGGCATATACAGTGTCTCATTATAATGTATTAAATGATCACACAACCATTCCTGATGACATACTTGAGGGTGGGACTGACGTGTCTTACACTGTGAATTCTGCTGATATACTGTATGAAGTGTGTTTGGTGTGGAGTCAGTACAGACAATGAGATCACCACCTCAAGGACTGATACCAGTCTGATTAATCCCAGAAGAAAGATCTAAACATTCACACACTGCCCTGCCTTTTTGCTGAGGGCTTGTTCCACGCATTGGTTGCTGGGATGAAGGCACCACATCCCTGCTGGGAATACTGTGGTAATGTTGTGCTGTGTAAGCAACCAAAATGGTGAGTAAGAAAAGCAAACTACATCACTTGACTTCCCCAATCGAATGGTCTGCATGCCTCCCGACCAGTCCCTTGATGAAGAATCAGGCTGTACAAAACCATTCACAAATCAAATCAAATGGCAAAGAGAAGTCTTTTGTTTGTGGTGAGTGAACATGGTGGGTTTATTGAAATAACTTAAAGTACATTCAAATGAGGGTTGCATGCATTCCAACTGGGACAAAGAATTTCCTTGCTCTGGTCTTTTCTCGCCATACTTACATAACTCAGTCTGTTTGGACCATATATGCAACACTTTGTCACAAACTGCAAGTAGAGTCGCATGCTGTAAACTTAAGCTGAAAGTGAAACAGCTGTCTGTGGTTGCTTGGTTCTTTGATGATAGGGCCTTTACAGGAAAACCCTCTTGTATGCAAGTAACAACTCAAAGATGCGTAGTGGGTTCATTTAAATGTGCCACTTTTTCTTCATGTGAAGTCTATTTTAGGACCATTAAGACTTTTGGATTATGACATTCTTTTCATGAAAAAGAAGCACATTTTCCCCAAGTTACGTCTGGCGTTTTATGTTTCCCACCCTCAAAATTCTCAATTCTCATTTTGGTGTAACACTCTATTGCACAGTAAAAAAAACCTTATAATGAAAATAATTATTTTAATTTAATCAGAACAAATTAAAGACAGTACAATAAATACTACCACAATTTATACATTTAAATAACATATAAATTAATAATAATAATAATATATATATATATATATATATATATATATAATTATTATTACAGTATTTATAGTGCAATAAGAATTGGGGGATTTAATTGCCATGAGAATACTGTCATAATGCAAAAAATATTAATGGTCAAGAATAAGCTTTGTTTTCATTTAATTTCATTTAAATAAAATAATACAATAATAAAATAAAATAATTTTGGAGTAAGGTTTTTAAGCACGCTCTTCCGTTTTCATGAATTTTGTCAACTCAGTTGTAGCACACCAGAATTATTATTAATAATTCTATTCAAACTATTAAAATAATTTTTGTTCATTTAAATAAAATAAAATGAAAATCTAAATAAAAATTTATTTTTTCAAATATAAAAATGTAAGTAAT